TACGACTTAGTTTTAGTTAATTCTCGTTTAAAGAAAAACTTTGTGATAGAGTTCCGTCCAGAACTTCCCGCGGAGTAATAATATAGGTTAGAGAGGTGACTGAAATTCTTTGACATGAATTAAGGTGAGATTGTTGAATTAACTCTGTATATTTATACTTTATCTTGATATGAGAGTAATAGTATAGGTTAGAGAGTTGACTAAAATTCCTTGACATGGGTTAAGGTGAGATTGTTGAGTTACCTCTGTATATTAATACTCTCTTGATATGAAAATAATAATATAGGTTAGAGAGTTGACTGAAATTCCTTGACATGGGTTAAGATGAGATTGTTGAATTACCTCTGTATATTAATACTCTATCTTGAGATGATAGTAATAATATAGGTAAGAGAGTTTACTGAAATTCCTTGACATGGGTTAAGGTGAGATTGTTGAGTTACCTCTTTATATTATTACTCTATCATGTAATGGCTACAGCTTAGTTCTAGTTAACTCTCGTTTAAAGAGGGAACTTCAGTTAGGATTCTATCTAGAACTTTCCGCTGAGTAATAATATAGGTTATTGAAACTCCTTAACGCGAGTTAAAGGGGAGATTGTTGAGGTTAACTCTGATTAAGGAGTTAACCTTGGTTAATTAACCTCAATTAAATGCATATGTAGCTATTTATAGCTTAGAGTCGTTGACTACCTTGGGTATATACATACCCTAAGGGTGATAAGAAGACGATCACTTCAAGCATTTAAGTGATAGACTCTCTAGTGTATTCCTCCGTGGACGTAGCCCCTGAGGCTGAACCACATTATACGTGTGTACTCTTGTATTTCTCGTATTGTTGGATTGATTAAGTGTGTCGATATAATTCTCGTGTTTTGCATTTACAATTCTTAATAGATTCTTTGCTTTTATCGATATTTTGTTTTTTTGGTGCTGTCTATCTTGGATCTTTTGATCTCTTCATTAATCTATTATTAAGTGCATAGCTTGGAGTACCTTGACATGATTTTCTTTAAGAGATTTTTATCAAAAATTATGGAAACTTGAAATTTCATCTACTTTTCAAAAAGAATCCTAAGTATACGCTAGACTTGCATGTAAATGGTTATCATGATTTATTTTTCTTTTGTCTTTGCACTCGATATATCAATGTAATAGGTAAACCATGCTACTTTGGATGTAGCTTTTGAATGTATTTTTTGAAAAATTAATTAATATGTTGGTCGTGAGATGCATGTTGTTTTCTTTTCGACTATGTTTCAGTGGAGTTTGGTGCTAATTTGTCACGACTACATGTTCAAACCTGTCCTCATTTATTAAAATCCGCAATTTGAAAATTCCCACTAGTCTCTTCTTACATCACATTGTCATCACTATGTGCTCAATTAGTTAGAATCCACGATTCAACAATCAAGACGATGTCATAGATAATCTTTTAACACATCCATCTTATAATCAATAGGGATTTTCTTCATTCCATAGTAGACGTTCAATTCATCCGGGTTTACATGCTACCCAAGAACAATAAAATGTGAATCATTCGCTTCTTTTCCAAGCGTATTCTCTTCCTAGAGACTTGTAGTACATGCTTAGTTAAAATCTCCCATGTTAATCATAAAATTAAAAGAACCCTCTACCATCTAAGCCTTGCGTAACCTGGAAAAAGAGTTGATTCAAAGCAAATATCAACGGATAGCATGTATGGAATATTTTTTGTAATCTTGTATCATATGTTGTTTTTCTTTCCTGTCAGGAAAGTTCGACATTTTTTTGTAATCTTGTATCATTTGTTGTTTTTTTTTTCTGTAAGGAGAGTTCGAGAGTTCTTCCATATTTATCAACCGTCGAGCTTCTCAATCTCGTCGAGCAACTCCTTGCGCAGACAACTTACTCGTGATTGTAGTTCCCGCACGTATTCTATAGCATCGCCGAGGATAGAAGCTGGATTCACCTGCAGAAACAAACAATCACTTTGTGGTTAACATTTTATCCCGCTATAACGTTACCCACAAACCGAAGTCCACGTGTCGGCTGGACACGTGGACGTGGGCCTAAGACCGACATTGAGTTGATTCGAACCACTACTGAGGAAAACCAGACCAATTATATTGAAGAATTACAAAATTCAACCTACTTTACTCGTTTATATAAGATATGATTATTTTCAATGATATTTATATACAGTAGGTCTATAAATTAGTACATTTATACTTTCATATATTTGTTACCCTCAAACTTCACCTTCTTTAATGTGATATATTAGCAATTTATGTATAATCTTAGAACAAGCGGACACTGAAATGTGAACATATGGATAACTAGAGTTTCACAATTCTCTGCAATTTTCAAATAGAACTAACCTATTTCACTAGCTGAATTATCCATTGCAAGATACTAGCATATTGCTGGCAATCCAATAATTCAGCATTCAAAATTTGAAGGAATTGGAGATAAAGTCATCCACTATATACATGCACAGATGCTTCTAATCTAGCAAGAACTATTTCTCGCTATCCTTAAAGCTCTAGGTAGATGACATTTCTCCTTCATTTTTTTTTTTCTTACAAAAGGAATTGTTTTCCGAACAAGCCAGACTCGAACAACTAACAAGGGAGGAGGGAGGCTGAGACCTCAGTCGCGTAAATTTCACCTTTCTCTATTTACGAAATGATTCACGAACTTCTATCATGAATTTGTAGCTTTCAATTGACCATGATGAATGCTATCGATCAGCTGGGCACATCTTTAAAAAAAGAGCAGAGGAATATAGACACTAAAATGTTTGTTCATCTTGACCACCTCCTGGAGCTGCTTTCCGTCTGAGACTTGGAGGAGCATGCACCATAGTCATAGGTGCTGAACTGCTGCAGTGCATGAGGCGCTGGATTTGGACCTTCCAAAATATTCCATCGCAGATGAAAGTGGAAGCCATGCACAGACAGGTAAAGAAAGCAAGGAGCCAGCAGCTGTTCCATTACTGGACTTTAGAACTAGGCCTAACACCCAACATGCAGTGCTGAATTGAGCTGAGATACAGAATCCACTTTTTCATCTTCAGTAAATCTCCCGTGGCTTATTTTCCCAAATGGAGACAGCAGATAAAAGGAGATCACTTCCTCTCCGACCGTTAAGGCCTGAAGTAGATTTTCAGTGGGTTGAACAATATCATAACATTTTACATTCCTTAGTCAAACTATTAGTTGAATATTTTAAAAAATCTGAACAAAGCTGATCTGTAACAGATGTAAAGGTGAAACAAGGGACTCGCATTAGTACGAAAGTATTGCATTAGTCTGATCCTTGCAACACTAACGATCACTGCTCTGGCAGAGTCAGAATGGCTGTGGAGAGAAAATCTGATACGCAAAAAGGAAGGTGCTGCAAAAGCTGCTGGCGTCAAAGGCCCAGAGTCGCTTCGAGCTGATTGCTGGATCAATTGGAACTCGTTGTGCAGATGCTGTGGGAGAATAGTACGCTGGCCCTCTAGGGTTCCTGATGTTCTCCATAGATCGACCTCTGCAGCACGAGTAGCGAGGCTGGGGCTGTCAGTCTGGCGCAGCCCCTGTGCTTGGTGTTGGCAGTGCCAGCTTCACTTGTCCATGATAGAACATGCAGATCTACCTGCACAGTTGGCAGATGCAGACAGATGAATCTGCCAGAATAATAAACGTGAGTATCGCTGATGTAAAGGGACTGGTGATATGCCCATAGTCCCTTGACCAACACGAGGATATGAAAAGCACATTGGCACCCAAATATATCTTGTGTACTGCTACGAAAGTCAGATGAGCCCAGAATATCGTCCTTGCATCAAGTAGTCCCACTTTTACTCTCAAAAATAACATCTCTCAGGAATTTGCCTGAATGCACTAGACAAGTAGAAGATATTTCAGACTCTAGGAAACGTAACATCACTTTGTGGTCACCCTGAATGTGGAAGAAATCTTGAGTAAGGGCACACCCGATCTATATCACTGCTCGGCTTCCCAGATTTACAACTCCTGGCTTTCTTCTCATGTGCTGCAGTGCCTGGACAAGGGCTTTCTACTTTTAGGCCTTTAGTGATTAAGTACCAAGCTAACATCGAAGTCGCAAAAACTCTTACTTGACAAGTTCATAACCGTTTCAGCTGAATCGATGGAGATAATTTTACCATTTTCTTGATTCATTGGTGAACATGGAATTTTGCTCTGTTCGTCCCCATTGCGGCACACGATTGTACCGCGGGGACATGTTCAAGGAATTAAGGAATACGTTGTCGACACGGCGGGTAAGGGTAGTGCCTGTTTGCCTGGCAATACTATCGTTTGCAAACACATATCAAATTTAAATTCTAGCTTCATCTTCGAGTCTGGCCTCCGAACATGGATTGGATCCACTGTACAGAGGATCTGGAGTATTGCAGGAACCAAACAGCGGTTTCAGGATAAGTAATGCATTTCTGGATTGAGTACTTGTCAGGATGTACGAGTTTGCTCATCTTGGCAATCATCGAGGTTTGACTGTGCTTATGTGTATGTCAACAAGTGTCCTCGATATGGTCGCTGTCATGAGTACTTTCTGGCTGTGACGTACTTATATATCTACTAGATCTGGCACGGGCTGTGGGTCAGAGTTACCTACAGTGGATGTACCTGACACAAAACAGAACGTTGAGATTGCATGTGCATCTGTAGCCTCTCCCCGAAGGCACGCAGAGCATTCGATGACCTCCCTCGTGGAGTTGTCTGAACGCGGCGCCAGGTACGGGATGCTTATCTAAAGAAGCATAAAATTGGATTATGACTACGGACATTGCCTTCATTCATGTTTATGTGTATCCATATCTACACCAGCACATACAGCCTACAGCACCATTGCGTCATTGACTGTCACTGCTACGTGGACCAAAAACGACTTCGTGTACAAGGAGCACCGGACTCCATTGCAGCTGGCGATGTTATCTGCTGAATCTATACGGAATTTAGCATTCACATGAAAAATTTCCCGTACACAAGTGATCGTGTGACGACTGGACAAGAAACTCCAAAAAATTTAAATTTCTTCCCAGGAGGAGCGTATAGCACCATTTACTAAGAAAAGGAGAAAGTCAGTCTAATACGAGGTCTGAAAATTGCCATGAAGGAAATCGGGTAAGCTTAACGTGCTGCTTCAAGGTGTTCCCAATCTCTTTCAATAAGTAACATCTCTTATTCGCACTATTTCACAACCTATCTAAACTCATACCCCACTCGTCTGCACATGCGGAGGGAACCCCAACTTTCAGCATTCGTCTGCTAATACCCACCCGAGCTCGCATTACATCCTAAGAATTAATGTTTACCCGCTTAATGGCATAATTGCCCTTAAAGTAGCAATACACAAAAGGTATCCTAAGTTGTAGACGTGCTTCTCCTAATTGACTGAAACCAACTACGCCAGTTGGAAAGATTCTACTCTGATCACATACGTACAAAGACTCGCCGTTTGCTTTTGAAGGAGCACAAACCCATCGATGGAGCTTCACTCTAGTTCTCTAAAATGTTCAGTACATATCGACAATGTGAACTCCACACCAAAACCTACCACGAGAAAGACTCTCTGCAGAAGCCTGCAGAAAAATCAATGACATTTTGCTGAAACATCTACATGACGCCATGTCAAGTGTTGACAAAAATATTCCCTACTTTGATCCACACCGACGACCTCGATTCTGCGCACAACAACAGAGGGTTTTTTCCAAAATTCGAATCTGTCATGTTTCATTCATCATCTGGGAGGTAAAACCCTGGCCCCTCTGTCGTTTCCAACTCCCCTTCGGTCGGCAGCAATAATGGGTGCAATTACTTGTGGCATCGACATTCCCCCCGATACGACGATTTCTGCACGGGAGTTTCAAACACAAGTTGGTCACGCGAGCATAGCAGCAGGTATTCCTGGTGTTTCCGTCCTTACATGTAATGGCACGTCTGTTCCCCGTAGGAAGGAAAATGCTAGCTTTCTTATTTCCAAGTTGAAGGAACATTGTGGACTACGGCTATACTTGTAGCATGTTTCAGCATAAAAACGTTTCTACTATGCATAGTGTAGTAAGGTTGATATACGTTATAAGCACAACAAAAAAGATCGTTCCCCGAATAATTAGCTTCAGCAAACCACAGAGAAATAGATCAAGCGGCTGAAATATAGAAAAAACTCAAGCAACTGGAAGGTTATAGAGTCAAACCGATTCCCTCTCGTACTGAAAGATTAGGCCGTATGACCTCCCTTGAACCAACGAGGAAAATGTCGCCAATATACAGATGGTTGGTGGGGACATAAACGCTACACAGCTCTTCATCCCCTGTTTCGTTCTGTTTACAGGAAACAAAAACCAAGGATGAGACTATTGCACTGTAGCAACATACCCAAAACAGGATAAATATACCACACATAAGCGTTGAGTTGATTCGTGCAGAAAAGTTTCAAGTTGTTCACGCGATATGTATGCTAGATAACCCTGTAGAATTTTACTCTGATCGTTACGGCCTTGAAAATACTTTGTTCAAGTTTGTAATGTAAACCACCTAAGAACAGCTGTAGTCATCAATCTCGCCTGAAAACAAGTCTTCTCACCAACTAATCTCGACCTACCTTACGCATAGAAGAAACATACCTGAAGGACTAGTGTAGATGTGATAAACCCAATGGCATATTCCCCTACTCGAGGATGACGAATTATAGCTACCTCCTTAAAAGCCTGGGTGTTTTGATCTGAAAAAACGTCAAAACTCGACAACATGAGTTGCCTGTGTCTTCCGCTACCTGAAATCTAAAGCTAGAGAAGTCGGACACATACTTCTCATATACTTCCGAACCATGCTCAGGGTTAGAACGCTACTAATGGTTCGCAAGAAGAGTATTGAATGTAGAGGGCAGATTAGTTTTCGTTTCATATTTACCAAAAGTGGTCAATCAGCAAAATATACGGTTACCGTTCAGTAGGGACTCGATGTATTAACAAGGACCAAATAACGTTTGCATCCAACTCAACTTTCATGACTAACCACCAAGCTGCGAATATTTTACCCCTTGAATATACATACAATACTTCCTGACGGGGTGAGAACGGAGAAATGCGAGTTGCGTTTCATTTCACAAACTGGTGAATATTTATCGAATGCAATCCGACGACATCTGTAACGGTGTTACGCTTACATCTCATTTATGTTTTAGAATCTCAGATTTTTTATATCTGAGATTCTAAAATATAACAAACAATAGATACGTCTCGTATCTATTGCCAGCTGAGGAACAAAGTCTACGTTCTAACCAAAACCTTCACACATCCGGACTCAATTACAGGTGAACATGTCTTCAGTTCTTCACAAATTAATTTAACGACATTCCTTTAGTCGGGTATAAGAACTAAAATCACGGGCCCAAAGTTTCATTAAGTGCAGGGCACGTCAGGCCTAAATCTTACAAATTCGAAGAATCACCATCACGCGCTGGAAATAGAGCTAGTTCCACCTTACCTGGGGATATGGCTGCACTAATCTGTTTCGAAGCAGAATATATGTGTTTCACTAATGGCATGCGCTTGATAAACCACTCTCCCATCCAGAGAACCGATGAACCAATCCACGAGGATACAAACACACCGACCAAGAAGATGAAGATGATGGAAGTAAGAAAGCCTACGCCTGCGAAGAGTATCGCACAAATAGCATATGTCAGTAACAATCGACACAAAACAAAATAAAGGTCAAGTGTCCTACAAAATAACATAAGAAATTCCACAGTAATAACACTTTTTATAGAAAACCACCCTCAACACATGTAGGAGACGGTCAAGATAAGAAAGTATTTGAGCAAAGCAAACATGCCCCGTGCATCTCAACATCTCTATGACCAAAACTTGATCTAAAACCCGTGGTTCAGAGGTAAAAAACTATGAAGGAATCAAGTGCTCCCAAAGCCAGAAGTGCATACTAACTTTCAGAGGAAATTTTTACTTTTTTTCTGGTCATGACCCTATATGACCAGAATTAGTCCACATATTCATGGCAATATACTGCTAATTTATTTTAAAATGAGGAGTCTACTTACCAAAAACATGGACACCCAGCGCTTTATAAACTGGTCTAAAGAACCCGTCGAAGAATGCGATGAACCACCACGTCACGTAGAAAGTAATTGCTATCGGGAACAGGATCACACTGCATTACATACAGCAGTAAGTTACTTTATTCTCTCCTCTGACGTGAAAATACAAACATTATTAAGTCCGCCGCAGAATTACAGCCCTCGTAAAGAAATGCCAATCCTTTATTCTCGACGTCACAACCTTTGCCGGGATTTATGAAACAAGGAAGTAGTAACCACGTTACAGTACAATGACTTAAACAGAGTGAAACAAAGATAGTGACTTGCGTGAACTTCCAGATAGACAACCATATCTGTAAGTTACGAAATGAAGAGAATCCAAGTACAGGATGCAAGGAGATGAAGAACATACCAGCCGCTCATGAACTTCTTAGATGCCCAACTCTGAAGAACAGCATAGAAAGCCTGCAAAGGTATACACTTCTTGTGAATAAGAATATCGTGCTTCGAGAAGATATACAAGGTGCAGAGCTCGCAAACCAAGAGAAAGAGTCGGGATCGAAATAAGTACAAGGTCGTAAGTGGATCAGAATTCGCCACAATATAACGGGAGGTACATCATGTGTACCAAGGAGTAAAAGACGGTTTGAAAAAGGTTCATGGCAAAAGGATCAAGCTTGCACTCGTCATGAGCAGCCCTCAGCATGAAAACAAGCTGCTCTCGGCAGGTTTTAAAAAAAAGTGCTACCGACTACAAGACTCAAATATTGACTTTGCAACACGGACAACCAAGTTCATCATTAAGCTGCAAAGATACGATCTTACTCAATCAGTTTCGGGATGAATAGGTTATAGATTGATTCATGGCTTTCGCAGTCAGGAAGTAAACCTTATGCGTCAGACTATGGTGGCAATAACTGCGTTGAAAGCCACTACTACTCTTGGTGGGAAACAACATCGTGAAACGATTGCCGTTGCTCCTATTCACAGCACCGGAAAATAAATGGATTTCATGTTTTATACCTGCATGAGATCCATGACAAGCAGTAAAACACGTACTCACATTACGATGACTTCTTGACATAGTCTCTCGACGTCCGTATAACCCTTTTTGAAATTAGAACAGAGAACCAGAATGACAGCTCATGTGCTTCCGACATCATGGATTGGAAATTACCGAACTGACCCGAGCATATGCTGTCAATCCTTCGAATACGGGTCATGTGTGCCCTAAGCAATTTGGCTGCGCCAAGGAGAGGGGCAACAAATTACATCTATTTGAATTCGTTTCGACCTTGAATTTGTGATTAGCTTAAGCTCTTCATCGTCATCGTTAAACTACTGATGGTAAGTATGAGATTCAGCTCTTCTCGTCCCATAGAGAGAAAAGTCTCGAGAAAAGAACCGATCGGAATCTAGGGTTTCTACCGCTTCAATCAACCGCGTTTCCAACTCGCCTGTCATATCCCTTCAACTGTAACATCGGGCCGATCGCCAGGATTTTCTTCCAAGTGTGAGAAATGTCCTTAATTAATCAGGGCAATCGCACACTGAAGTTTTGAGAAGCAGGGAGCAAGACTCCAAGTATTTCAGACAACAGAGAGAAAGATTACATGCAAACGCTAAGACGAGTTCGCTCGCCTCAGGAGGAACTTCAAGCAACCAAGTAACGCCCAAAAGATGAGGAGCAATCAACAGCAGAAGTTGTAAATCATACAAAACAGTAAGAGCCTGAAATAGCCAACCTCACGGCCTGCATGATAGCCGGAATGCTGAGGGGGTCCGGCTTTGAGCGGGTCTTCCACATCCTCTACATGACTCTGCATCAGGAGTTCCCTGTCTCCCAAAACCCGTGTCCCTAGGGTGGAGGAGGTAGCCGCCTTATCATCCCCCATGAGTGAACGACCGTTCTGTTGCAACCCTGCTTTTCTTTCTTCTCGCCGTTGGTAACTACCGGGCTCGTCTGATGACACGGGCCTGCCCTCTGAGCTACAACGAATTCCGCCTGTACTAGATTTTCTTGTCTTCACGGCCTGTTTGTTTAGGTAAGATGCACAGAATCCAGTATAAGCGCCCTCTTTCCGGCGAAAAACTAATGGTTCAATCTCGTGCGCGACGGGCTTCAAAACGAACGCAAAATGTTTCTCCCCCGCTCAGGAAGAATGCTGTCAGGTTTTCTTATGCCGCCATCGACTATGACAGAACGGTCCGCCTCTAAATTCCTCTTCCTCCCCGCCCCGCAAACCAGCGCCGAACTCAGCTCTGCGCTCCTCGATCCACCACGGTCCGTCCTTCGTAATGAGGCACTCAATCAGAGAAACAATCTATCGATTTTTAAAACGTGAAATTCCACATCCATTCCCCGAACGAAAGATTCACCAAAACCTCCTGCGACATCGATGAGGTCCTTCTCTTCTCTCCTCTCCTTTCCTCTTCTTCTTCGATGTATTACCAAAATGACCGGAGGGGAAGCAGACGCGGAGCACGCAATTCTCGGAAAGCAGCAAACACTACTCGGATCACTACCTTCTAGCCTCCCCGAGCGAGATGCCGGCAGATGACAACACTCGACGAATCACCAAAAACCCACTCCTCCCTCCTCCCTCCTTCCGGGCCCAGAGATCCACCAACGACCGACGACGATGAACAACAACACCCCAAGAGCAACAGACACACACACAAATCGATCGTCGATTCCACCAACACACCACTCGCCCGCGACACCAACACCAACAACAGAGTCTGTACAGAGCAGCGCCCCACGAAACGGAGACGACGACGAACGCGGCGCTGAGTAATGCCGAGCTTCAGAGTCAAGCACCGCTCCCTCCCTCCCTCCCTCCCTTCCCCCGCCTCCGACCTGTGACCTGCCTCGAGAACACCGCACCACCGGAACCCTCGCCACCCGCGACTGGACAAGTCGCGTCGCCGACCGCTTGTGACCGGCTTACCCATCGCGACGGACGAGACCGCAGCTCAAAATCTCCTTCCTCTCCTTCGGGCGCGTGTGGGTTCGAACCTCGCAAGCGACGGACCCCGACGTACAGTTCAGTGTCAGAGATTAATGGTCGCAAACTTTGACTTAGGCAGATGATCTTTCATTTGAATTCGCTGTTTCTTATTCGTCGATCGGTGACACGATTGGCTCGGAGCGTCGTCCACGAGTACGGTCACTACGGTGGTATGTAGCGGTAGGTTTTTCCGCATTTTGGATGGGCTAATTAATGAGACTTTTTGGTGTTTAGTGCTCGTGTCTGCTGGCTTTAACTGGAACCTAACGCGAGGTAATTGGTGCAGTTGTCCTTTGTACGCTACCTCGTTGACTGCAAAATAGAGACGTGAAAAACAATTCTTCTGTACCTTTCCAAGGTGGAGTTTGAGTGAGGTTGTTAATATGTTCTGTGCTCCACGTCCATGTTTGCGCTCATAGATGTTCCGCTCCGGTTACAAAAGATTTATGCATGCGCATTTCTAATCATGTCAACTGATCTTTAGCGCCACTCCATTTGGTCCAGACCTTTGTGAACTGTTGTTGAAGTGATAGAATTTTTGCAATGATTTCATAGCTAGATACATGAGTACAATGGATCATGATATAGCCACTTATTTCGGCTTATGTAAAGGAGGTGAGACATGTCGTAAAGAGAACAAAATAGACGGTCGAATCTTGGTGTAATGTCCTAAAACATTCTAAACATTAAGTTGCATCCAAAGTTCTATGCAATCGGTACAGCACCGTAAATGATGTAAACCTAATATTCAAGTTCATATCATTATTAGCATCCGTTGAGATCATCTTCATTTCATCAAAATACATAACTAACAAAATAAAAAAAAATAAAAAACACATACTAGTCCGGAAGTTTTCCGAATCAGCGTGGTGAGTTAAAATACGCCTTAGTAAATTACATGTTCGATAGCTAGTAATGGAAAGTAAAATCTACAAATCCTAGTAAATGAAATTCTTTGAATGATAGATTATCACAAGAAAAACCAATTCACGTAGCAAAAATTGTGAACTCCCTATCCTCAGTGCATTAAACCTAGGGGGTAATATAGTGCTAGCCCCAATCGCACCACTATATCCTTATCAAATGGTTTCAATCCTGTGACAAAAGGAATCATATTGTTCCGGGTCGTTCAAACGAGTAGGAATGTAATTTAATGATGTTCACCAAAGCCTGAGAACATATGGTGTTCTGGGATATTATATGCTTACAAAGTATTAGCTTTGAAAGAAGCACAGTTGTATCATACCTTTCATGTGCATTGAAAAATCTTCACATTTGTCATTGACATAAGGTGAAAATATATTCGGTGCAGTACTACAACGATTCCCATCTATGTTGTGATTATAATAGGGTCTAGCCCATCTTCCCCTTTGGTGTCATCCACGTCTTGATGTGGTCTTCCGATTCCTTTTTGTAATTTTCGTTGGTTAATTGATTCTTATAAATATTTCCTAATGTAATTGCAGTCTTCTTCCGTTTTACCTTGACCACAATACGCTTTAAGGTAAGGTGTATCACTCAAGCCAAGAAACCAACAATAAAACGATTTTATTAGTCTTAGTTATCAATTATGACAGTTCGTCTCGATTGTGCGTAAGGAGTTCAACTATTCATCATGAATACCTCAACTCTTTAAATAAAACACCATCTTATTCTTTGTAACTTTCTCACCATGGAGGAATAAAGTTTTTAAGGATTCCATTCAAACGGTTTTTCCTGTATGCGTAGTAGTACAAAAGAACACTAAGTCTCCGAACATAGTTACTCTTCATGGGAATCAAACAGCATTTTGTATCTCACAACTCCATCAATGGGTTATTTGCTACGATTGACAAGAGTTCTTTTTTATAATAATTTCAATCATGCTACAAGAAGCAGGTGAAGTAGATGAGCAAGAACCACAAGAAACTATCAAAAGCTAAAATGTGACGATTCACAACTACAGGTTTTCTAAACACGAGAGGACCGAGAAGGATGGACCTCTTCTGCACCAATTATCATATTTATGGGAAATGCTGGGAAGCCAAGTGAGTAGTCGGATTATGGGTGATTTTGATCATTAAAATGATTTCAGATAGGAATCAAACACATATTCAAAAAAAAGTTATTATCTAATCAATTGCTGCGCCTCAACTCAGATTTTGGGCGCTTTAGGATAAGATTGATGAGGGTCGTAGGGTTCAGAATTTCGTTTTCTCTTTAGCCCAAATTTTGGAAAATTGATCAATCATAAAATTATCGACGTTATGTATGCATTGTACATCAAAGAATATACACACGATATCGTAACCACCTTTTAAGCCATTGAGTGAAACAACAAATGTCTTCAACATGAAATCAGATATATTTAATATGAAAAAAATTATCCAAAGGTAGATTTTTTTTTCTCAAGATAGAGAGATCTAACTATAATTCCCACATTCTGTGATGAGTTTTTTGGATGGTATGTTGATTTATGACATGTAATTTTGCTAAGTATATTGAATATTTATTATGAATATTAAAATTGAAAATCGGTATATCATATTACTATTATTATGATGTAACCTAGTCCATGACATATTCCAAAACTTTTGTGCCCTGTTACTAGTGACTTAGCTCACAAAATACTAGAACTCCTAATGATCAGATTATATATCTTCCGTGATCTATATGGAGAGGTACGTCCAAAGAGGATCAAGGTGTAATCCACAAGGAAATAGTGTTTGTAGCAAATAGAAAATAACAGAGGAAAATACACACTCTAGGTTCTCCAGCATGCGACACGATCCAAAGTTGCGAAGGTTGTGGCACACAAATCGCCAGTACACTTGTCTTAAATTCATCTGGGGACTTTTAATTGGAATAACTTATTTGTACAGTCTGTAAGCATGGAGGAAACCACACCAAAATATCCAACCTGATCTGGTCAACGTGACCCGGAGAGCGTGACGCCGCTCAATGCTTGCGTCCAGACGCTCCCCAGATCGTTCGTCGCAGATTTTTCTCGATGCATGTGATAAGGCTTGAAGTCGTGTACGTGATAACATGATCCATACGGTCTGCTTGTACACCCATGACCTGGCCTGCCGGACGAGCCACTAATCAAGGCACACAAAATCAAGTCCCACTTCTAAACCCCCGCTCTTAGCGCAGGGCGGCAGAGCGGAAAGTTCGAAATTTCATCCTGCCCACCGGCTGGCGAAGCAGAGGCCGGAGCGGCACCAGCCGGTCAGTCGGTCTTTGGCTGTCATATGTGTCATATGCAGCCCAATTACGGACCGGTGCTTTCCAGCTGTCACACAGGGAAGATTCGGATTGGGCTGCTTTGGACTTTACCCGAAGGTATAGCGATGTGTACAGTCCAAGAAAACTGGCCGCGGTCGATTGACCCTCGAAGTGGCCCTGCGAGACGAATCTCTGCGGCATCGCCCGAGGATTGTTCCGTCGCGATGAAACCTTTCCACGCTTTTGAACGCTTTGCTTGCATGCCCGCGCGCGGCCCCTGCCTGCCTTCGCCCGCTTTACTCGCTTGCTTCTCTCGAACGGGACTCCGCCCGCGAGGACCAACATGAAGACGACTCCCGCCAAGGGCCCGAGTCCGAGTCCGAGTCTCTCCCACCTTCGCAAAGAAGGCAGAAGCTCGTGAAGGAGGAGACCGCCGACGACGATGAGGACGAGGACGAGGACGGAAGAGTTCCTTTGCGCTTCGGCGAAACATTGAAGACCGAGAGGATGCGTGGTCTGACGGCCTTTCTCTCACCAATTCGAAGCGAGAAGATGGAGTAGGCGAAGACCATTTGGTCAAACTTTATGTCGCCATTGACTTCTTCGGTTCAAACTTGCCAACGACCTCTCCAGATCCTGCGTGCGTGGGGATGGGTGTGTGCAGTACAGTGGTAGCGTGTAGATTTGGATTCGACTGCCCGAGGGGCTGTCGATTTCTGGATACATGCCTTCACTAAACAACAACAAAGTAAACTTTAACCTCCTGCCCACAAACCCGTGCCATTATCCCTCAGACACCACATTTAAAGTCGAGATATTGATTATAAGATAGATGTATCTCGGAAGGAATAGTTGTCAACCAGCTGATACTTCTTCGGCAGGATGATCATTTGAACTGTGTAATTTGATCGTAAATTCATTGTGTGTAAATCCGCTCAATAGTCAGGAGACGGCTTTCAAGGAGACATTTAATATTCTGGGAAGGCCAACAAACGCACGGGTACTTGACAGTACCTTACAGATACGATAGGGAGCGAAATCAGGTTGCTAGTCACTGTTAGCATTTGAGATCTGTTCAGGCAATACAATCAAAGAGTCTCTTCATCTATCCTGCTACAGAAATGATTTCCATACGGAAAAACAAAGTGGTCTCAGTTTCTGAAATCAGGAACTTCGTTCAACAAGAATTATGGAGAAGAAGAGAGAAGAGCTGGGATAAAATAAAGAGTAACCCATGGTTTTTTTGTCAAAAGGTAGAATATTTTAGTTAATAGATAGAGGCTTCACCTGTTTCACCCTGCAGACCAACTGTAGTAGCCCAAATATAGGATCTATTGTTACTATCAAGCCCGTCACTATATTAAATTTGACTCGTTGCTGGCCATTGACCTACACTATGAATAATCACTCACTCACAGGTAAGAGACTCAGGGTTACTCGATAGTAAAAGTTAGGATATCTTAGGACACATTTGCCATGATGATGCTATTGGTACCTATTATCATTTGGTTTCATATCTGTACGAGTAGATGGAGTCTTCCCATACTATTTTACAGTGTGCTATCTACGCGGAGCTTGACAGGGTCTTCCCATCCATTTTGCTAGTCTACTGTGTATGACAAGTTTGAGGAGCACGAAGAGGTAAAAGGCTCGTGAAGAATGTCAAGCCGACTATTGTTGAATAGGGGCTCAATCAATGTCAAGGTCTACATCCCCACGTTCTTCAGACCACATGGAGTGCAGTGTGCAAGTCATAATCTTGCTATTTACACTTGTTGAGCACTCACAAACCTGCCATCATGCATGTCTTCATTGAAGAAGCGCATTGGTATTTATGATCAGTAGACTTCAGCAAGATGAGAATTAGACAAGATTAGGTTCTTTGCAAGGGGAGTAACTTAACCAAAAGGACTAGGTTCTTTGCAGTTGATAAAGCAGTTCTGAAGATGATCCGCTTGATGTCAGACATGTAAATCAATTTTCCAGCTTAACAGGTGTAGACTGAAGTGACTCACTGTTGGTCACCATCAGTGCTCCCCTGTGCAGATGGAGGCTAGTGCTCCTCTGGATAACATTATGGCTGTTTTTCATTTATGCTGTATTGCCATTAACACCAAGTTTGATCGAAATGTCTGGTGCACATGATGTATGACACAAAAATTTGGAAACTTGTAAAATTGTATTTATCCGCTTCCTTGATAAGCGCAACATTTTCGTCCACCCAGAATGTTTGCTTGAGTGGCTTCGGCTCATGGAATTGTCTTTTCACAAGACAAGCATAATTTTTTGAACAGTGGATAATAATTGGATACATTCGATAGTTTTAATTTTTCTTTTGAGAAGCCAAGGTTTTGATATACGCCTTTGCAAATATCTAGGTTCGTAATTATTGATATGAACGAATGCCTTGGCGAAAAAGAGAGTTTTAGAAATAAAAGTTTCTAATTTTGCCAATGCTTCATACCAAGTGGAAGTGGTCCGATTTTAAGTAAGTCTAATTGTATGTAACGAACAAACCGGAAAAGGTTACAATTTTGTTCAGTAAAGGTAATTCTGAAAGAAATTCAAAATCATGTTTTTATATACAGTTTTACGTAGCGAAGGTATTATGTCAACAACCTGTTGGTGAGAAAAGATATAAGCAAACAAGCACTGAACACGACAGGACGCTTCAAGATTTGTATTGTATCATGGTACGTAAAATAGACCGCACGCACTGAAGGTTACGCACTCCGATAGACATGCATCAAGGCAAAAGACACCCTGATGAAATGGTGAAAAGAGATAAAAGAAAATTCTATGTACCTTCCTGTGCAGCATCAGGGTCATTTAAGAAAAATATCAACATGAGGAAATTGGAGCAACTGAAAAGTGTACATACTTTCTCATCAGCCATTCTGAGGACACTAGATGATTCTTATGAAGTGAAATTCAGCCACAATTTACAGCAAAATTGTGGCTAGATTTCACCTCCTAAATAGCTTCCACGTAGTTAAGGTTTCAAATCAAGCAGAAGTGAAGAGCACTTAAGAACATGCTATGAGAGAACTGTGTCCTTTGAGGCTACATGTACATTATGTGTGCGGAGGTGAAAATGCTCTGATGAGAAGTTCGAAGACAATCGGTCAAGGAGCTGTGTATCCCTATAATTCTTCCACTCCCGAAGGGTTCTGAAGAGCTCACGATAATCAAAACTAGTTAGTTAATAATTTTATACGATTTCTGCAGAGCATCAAGCGCCTGTAGCTCAGTGGATAGAGCGTCTGTTTCCTAAGCAGAAAGTCATAGGTTCGACCCCTATCTGGCGCGTTAATGCCCTCTTTTGCATCCACTGCGGTTGAGGACTCATCGTTTTGCATCTGTTGCTCGACCCGTCTACCTTCTGTGGCAGTTAATTGTATGTAACCTTGATCGGTCGTCGGCTACGCTTCAATAGTGCGCGTTGCTTGAAAGCAATGCGTGTTGTGGTCGTCCAACTGTTAAGGCCACCTAAGTCCAATTACTTGTGTGTTCGCCTTCCGGAGGCAATGCAAGTTTGGTACCTGGACTGGGTTTCAAATCAATTATCCCGTGGTTGTTGAAAGTCACTACAAGTGAATCTGCTCTGGACTTTATGGTGGTGATTGCAAAAGAAAGGACAGAAGGTCGCTTTGATCAACGAATTACGAGAAATACTCTTTGCTGGAATATACTCTGCAGCAGACTGAAGCTTTCAGAATTTATTGCTCTGCATAGGGAAACACTGTGTGCTGAAGTCTTTCTGATAGGGGCCTGGAGTCTATCTAGGTCAAAGACTCAGATTCCTGGTATTATGTTGCAGGGTTCAGTTACATCTTAAATATTTCTAAATCACACCAGAGGATTTTTGCAGTTTTATTACATGATGTAGTGTTAAGTCATCTCATCTTGCAGTTTTTTTTGTCTCTCCTTCTCTCTAATTTGGTTTGTTGCGATACCAAGTGAATTTGGTGTATATTCAGTGCAATTTTTCACTACAAACTACAATTTTTCACTACAAACTATTCTACAAACTATGTTACCGAAACCATTCTATTTCACTCAGGGTACCACTAATTTATTCTACTAATCGCTCATGTGGTGACGGCTGCCCAGAAAATTCCTTTTCCCATTTTTCTCAATGTAAATCAAGAGGGTTTCCAAATTTATGTTTTGTGATCGGAACAATACCTACGCTCAATAAACGGTTCACTTATAATCGAATCGGTACTTAGATCACAAAGTGGTAGGAGTCTCTTTCTTCGTGAGATGAAAGATAATAATTGTTTGGCCGTTGCATCGATGAAGTGGGAAGGGCAAAGTATTTAAGCATTCGGCTCAGCGATGTTTCTGACAGCTAAGAAAATGTTAGTGTTCCGCTATCTGCGGAATGCAACGTAATTGTTTATATAGAAATACTGGATCATCCGTTTCCCAACGGAGAATCGAATGAAAAGATTCACAAAGGTATCTGAACTATGAAATCATCGAAATCATCACTCAGTGGAATAAGAAACTCACCTGTATATATTCTGTCAACGATATGTTAATCCCTGACAGATGAAGTCAGAACGTATCTTCAAATACCCGGGAGGGCAATTATGACGACATCTGAGAGTTCCTTTCCACAGGCATTTTCTGACGGTGGTGTAAGGCGTCGGGACCCACTAGTTTGATCATTCTGAATTTGCCGTAGATTATACTTCCTGCAACCATTCAATGCATATGATAGGCTCTGAAATTGGTTTGCACGCCACAACTGTCGAATTTGAAAGCTACATGGCGTTGAAAGCTGGAAACATGAGTCAGCAATGACAAATTCTGTGAATTTGCCAATTCGCTTTCGGCGATGACCAGTCGATATCTTGCTCCGCACCCTAGTGATTCGTTTCCTGGCGGCAGTTATTGATACACAATTTCTACTACCAGGATGCGTTGGTTTTTACAATTCCCGGAAACACGTGGATGATTTGTTCTTGAAAAGGTCGTTGCTCGTTTGTGTCATATCCGAAACAAATGAATTCGAAATTGATCCAAAGAGGCAGGCAGACTGCATAAAGCACAGCTCGTACTCTTCCGATGTAAGATAATCTGGTCCGCTTCGGAGTGGATTCTCGAGGTTATTTCGTTAATCAGTTGTTAGCTGATTGACAATACTTATGCTACCACGTGACTACTAAAAAGCCATCGCTTCAAGATAACCAGCGCTGACTGACACAGCCAGAAAGAGGTTTCTTCAATTGTAACATTCGGGTGCCTTTTGCTCTACAGGTGAAAACGAGAATACATGGAGCTCAGATAATGAAAAGTACATGACACATGACTCCACTGATGAATTGGTTTCAAAACTTACAAAAACTCTGCAGTTTTCAATTTGGTAATTCAACATTTGTCATTTGTCCGCTCAAAGATCTTTTTTGGACTCCGATTCAGTTGTAGCTTTCTTATCACTTCTTAAAGTAGTCAGGTAAGTTGCGTCCGTAATGGCAAAACTCCACCAGATAAATGTAAGAGGCAATGTAGAAGCTATCCATAAGGCTTCAGTCTCACCGTTGAAAAATGGCCACTTGGCGTTCATAACACTCAATCTAAGGAATACCACGAGAGACGCAGTGATGGCACTCAGACCCAACTGATATCTTCCCGGATGTTTTACGACGGAGACCCAACTGATCCAAATTTGATACTGAACCAAAGCCAGCCCCAGGCAAAGTTGCATATTCAGGCCTGCATCCACACAAAAATTTCAGGGACTATATTGGATAGCAATATAATAAACATAAAACATGAACTTCAGATAAATCTTCGACAATTATAGGAGGTAAAGCTCAGCAATGCCAACTTTCTGTTACGGAAAAATAATATACGACGTAGTTACTTACCATAGTCGTAAACGCAGTAGTTTATGTACATGAGATGAGTGTAAAGAAAAGCTAACGTTGGGGCAGCTACAATAACCCGTGAAGCTTCAGTTTTCATTTTGCCAACTCGCATGATTGCTAGGCAAAGTGCGTACATAGATAACAAGATTTCAAAAGAAGACTCCAAATGTTTGTCCACGGCCATTTTCCTGAAAAAGCTTTTTTGTCAGCTTCTTATTCAAACTCGACTATCTCCACCGACTAAAAAATAAATCCTGTAAAATGGCGAAACTCTCGCATGACTGCCCTCTTAATTAAATATAAATAGAAGTCTTGCTAAAGGGATGAAAACATACTATAAACCACACGAATATACAATACAACCGCTGATCAAAGTCAGATCATCATCAGCAAGCGAATTCTATCTGACTCGGCTTTAGGTGGGGAGCGCTAGAAAATACAGACAGTTGGTGAGCGTCGAAATTCATACCGCGAATGGAGCATGCATCTCGATATCCAGTACAAAATAGACAGAAGACCAAATCCTGTCCAGAGACTGCTGTACGGGTATGGAGCACAAGCACTTTGACGTTTTGGAAGACTGTACTGCCGAGACTGGAAAAACGCAAACAGCCCGATGATGTTTCCCAGAATATTCAACACGCAGAAAGCTGCAGACGCTGGTTCCTGAACCAAAAGAATTCCCAGAACAAGCTTTGATATTTGCTGAAATAAAGTCGGGAGAAATTAATTTGAAGACAAAACTCTCAAGATTTTTCTGAGAAGCAAGTTTCCCACGTTCTATTGGAGCAAAGGTAGCTACAAATTGCTATTCAAGTATGTTGGGTGAAGTCAGACCTCACATTAACAGTTGCAAGGGTGAATCCACGGGTAAGTCCGGTTTTGAGCAGATGGGAGTACAATTTCTTGGACTCTTCCTGCACAGCACGACACAACACCCTTCAATTTTGCTTAGCCTATCGTGTAAATAATGAGACTTCATATTCTTCAGGAGTAGAGTTCACATCCAGAACTCCACCCAGTACAGAAAGCACTGTAATCTAAGCAATATGACCGGGACAGTATCCTCACGTGATGGTCCACTGAACGGGCCAGACACCAGTCATCGCGATAACCAATGGCCTCCTGCGAGAACCCGGCTTCCTCCGTTTCCTTGCTTAGGGTGCAATGATAGTCACACTCAGTCTTACATATCCAAGTCTGCCACTTTCTTGATAGAGGGGGCGACGTAACGTCTTGCTGAGAATCATCTCCCGCGGCAGTGGCGTTGAGATAAGTACAGCTGGGAAGACAACTCTTTCCAACGCAACCGATCGTCTCACATGTACTCAAACAAGACCTGCATGGCAACAAGGAACATCATCATCACCTGAGCGTAAATATTTGGAAGACAAACATACAAACTTATCAGAAGCTCAAATACTTTCTGTTGTGATAATCGTCTCAAAAGCGCGCAGGAAACGAATATACAGCAGAAGAATGGGAGAATTTTCGAGTCATAAACAAAAGACATTTCCGTTCTTATTGCGGATCTAATCTGCCAAGCTGTAAACAAAAATTAATTTGATGGTGTGCGAAACTTAGGCAGATACCAAATTCAGAAAACAAAGACTCATTCCAGGATTATAACTGCGCCGGAAAAAGACCGCATGTCATTACAATCATAAACGGGACGCATCTTTGACCCTTCAAACTACTGATGTGCATCGGTTGAATTGACGCCGAACCAGAGTCAGCTCCAGAGACAGTTCGCCCAGTGAACTGTAAACTTGTGAAAGGTCTTCACCTCAATACCTAGACCGAAAAGCTTTCCAGTCTCCCACGATCAAAATTCATGATCTCCAGGAAACTAATCCAGGGCTGTGCCACTTTCTCATCAAAATACATGTTACTCATACACAGCTGCATCATCCACAAAGAGCCACGAAAGTGCACCTGAAGCGAGAATCATGCCAATTTGCACTAGCACCGGTTGCGAAAATCAGAAGCAGCAGCAAATGCCAAAGCCTTCCCGCATCCATTTTCCTTCCCGCTTCCGTCATCCTTCGACTGATCCACTAATTGATCGATTGGCTTGAAGGTAGCAAGTTTCCACTCGCGGATGACTCAATCGGGTCTACTGTAAAAGCATCACGCTAGTCTGTCCAGCGCTCCATATTCCACGAGCCGGCCCACCATCATGTCAGTCCAGGTGCAGAAATCTCAGGCGGACCGCGCTGGCGGCTCGGACACTGTCAGTCCAACGCTTGATCCGTCTCCATCGTCGAACAGTCCGGGCGCCTGCGCTCTTCGTCGGTCGCTCCAAATGTGGAAACAGCTTCGAGGGATTTGTCCAGCCTCCGGGCGATGGAAGTGATCGTGTGCGCGTCCCGCGAGGATCTACGAGATTTTTGAATGCCCCTGGAAGCATAGAAGGCCACTGGCACCCCACCCGCAGCCGAGACTGAAGATTCGGAATCACAGACCGGGTAATAAACGCTTTCCCGTGGATCAGAATTGGGAGCCTTGGAGGAAGGCGTGACCGACCGACGGTATCGAAGGTGTGAGCCCTGCACAGTGAGCCACCTGTCATTGTACCATGATGTCATCTTCGATTCGCACGGGCCGTGCGCAGGCAAGTTGTTCTTGTCGAGGGCGTATCTCGACAAGAACACTCCTCCGCTCGGCACAATCCTCTGCACCGGTATCTGATGGAACAATAATAATGGACGCGCGGGTCGTACATCGTGTACAGAAATCTACGCAGGTAATGGAGCTACGCAATATCCGACGGCTGGAGTTGGATCATCGCATCCCGGACAGCGAACCTCGCCCCCCACCCTTGTCCCCCGCCCTCGTCCATCCGTCAATGGTTCGTCGTCCGGCGACGACCCCCGAATCCGATCCAACAGCCACGCGCGCTTTTACTAAAGTGTATGATTGCACTTTCACTAGCAGTGCAATCATAGGGTTTCTTCTCTCATCAAATTGGCCGGAGGAATGTTTTAAAAGTGAGGTGTACTGGTGGCGATGGAGAGCATCACTCCAAGAAGTAAAATAAAAAAAGTGGTAATCAAAATTTCACTCTCTCTTTCAAGAGTTCGTGAGTTACTCAATTTTCTTCAAGTTTGCCAAATCGGTGAATTCCTTTTTTTAGTTCTCTTGAAGCTTCTCGTCACTCCACAGCCTTTTACCGAAGCTCATAATTAGATGTCATTTTTACATCCTCGCTCTTGAAAGCAAGTCCATGGCAGTTCATCCAGGTCATCGCTTACTATGTGACCTCCCTCTATCAATTCTCAGGGAGAATATGACTGCAGGTTACAGAAGTGTTCTGCACTTGTGAGACACATATCCAGATTCTGTGGAAGAATAAATGCGCAGGAGATTTAAGGAATTATGAACCATTTTTTTTCTGGAAAGAGTTATGTTTGACATGCTTTTTTTTTCGATAAACTTTTCATCGACGTGATTATTTCTTCATCTACTCAGCTATGTGGGCTTCTATTCACTCGGTCTACTCAGGTCTTATAACCATGCTATGGTCGATAACGTGTATCAGATGCACATCACTTTTGGTGTAGATTTTTTTTCTTTGATGTGATCCTCAAACGCAGGCTGTATCATGTATCTTGTTCTCGTATTTCGCTTTAAATAATGAATAATACAATATGAGTAAAAAAAACGGTATCAACGAAGTTTTGTATTTGAGGACCGTATAAAGTGTTACTCCTTGCATACAAAACTTTTCGATGGTGAATTTCTGCAAAAATGTTCTCTTTCTAAGACACATATTAAAGTACACTACATACGCTGGCTAAATTTAGATGATTTTTTCCTTCTTTATTCTTTCGCTTCTTACGTTTTGGACTCTTTCTTTCTCAGCCGGCTTTTGATAGTATACCTTTTTCTTGCCTTCTCGGGCTTTAACGTACTATTCGAATTCGTTCATTTCGAAATCTTCTTTGTTAAAGAAAGTACGCTATGCCTGGTCAAGTTATTAAGCAATAATCCTGGACTCCCACCCCAACAAGTATTGAGGTTACACTAGATTGCACTAACATATGGTTTCTTGTATAACATATGTAATAACAGTAACATGTGAGTGTATGGTGGAGACCAAAGAATGTTTTGAGTTTAGGGTTCAGAATGTCAATTTCTAAATATCTACATCAATGACTTGTAGATCTCAACGGTATGTGAGCGCCTAATACTGATAGTTTTCCATGATGAGCGACAAGAGTTTCTCTCTTATAACATACATAAAAAAACATATTACGACATCTTTTCTGGAAGAACGTCAACATCCGGTGATTTTCTTCTACATCAAGAAAGTTCAAAACTTCAATGCTTTGGATTGAATAAGAGACATACATAATATTTTCACTCGCTTGATTTCATCAAATTTCATCTCTGTGAAATTTGTGATAAAATCCATCAGAATTAGTTATGTTTGGCCCAATGATGACTGACAGCAAATATCATCTGAAAATATCATATAAAAATCATCTGAAATTCATGATAATCCGTCCATCATGTAAACTAACAAGAAAAAGTCATAACAATCAGAGCCGTTTCCGGAATAACTTGAGAAAGGTGTCCTGTAAAAGAACATGTTTGTGAGAATGCATTAGTCGGTGCATTACTAAAACAATAATTCAGCCCTTGTTCGGTGTGGTGTGACTGGGTACATATATATATACCCACTCAATAATCTATTTATAATTGGGCTCGGGATTCCTCCACAAAAACGAACAGTCCAGAAACTTGGAGCCCCTTCATCTTGTTGCATTAGTAGGGAACGCCAACACCCAAGTCAGCCATGTATAAAAATAGTTAAATTGGACCAGAATGCAATGATCTTAATACAAACGAATAAGGACTAATGGCGCTGGAAGAACAGAAGGAAGTCAGATAATAATATAATAATTTTCCTATAGTGAATAAACATTATAGCTTCACAGCACATTCGGGGCCACATCTATCATAAAGACGAAGACATAGAGATAAAAACTAGTCATATAGCGATTACACCCTTGATAGGTTTATATTTGAAAATGGCATAGGTTTTAAGGAAATATCGTTCCACCACTATATGAATCGAAGTTGGCATGGATTTATCTTTATTTTGGAGTAAGAATATTTCAATTTCTTTCAATTTTTTAAGCAACAAACCTCGAGAAAAGGGTTGGATTTTTTTAAAGAAATATTATAAGTTTGTTTTCTCTGAAGCGGATTTACTACTTAAGTTGTTATGTCGCATTATTTCGCATGCATTGTAGAATACTCACACATGTTATAACAAATTGGCTGTCAGATTACAGTACTCTAATATAAATCAAAGTCAATTACATTATTGTAGTCTAACTTGGAGAGACAAAACAAGGATGAGTTACATTCCACTAGAGATTCGGCGCTTCTTTCGTAAAGGCAAAGAAGTCTCCGTCGGGCCAAGGAGGACTCGACCAGCGGGTGAAAAAAATTAAAATTTAGGAAATTACATGTTGATTCAGTCTTTCAATTTTGAGTAGCGAAAGTCGTTTTCAAACCAGAGGTTCTTCGACTTGCATTGTGGTGGTTTCTGTTTACGCTATATTTATTTAACTTCGCTCTTTTTTCAAGTTTTTTGCAACGAAAATGACAAACAAAAATGGTCATTAAGGTTATTTTTAATCACGGCTGATTGACGTTCTTCAGATGTGCCAAACTTCCTAATCTGTACATGTCACATGTTCCACATTTTTGCGCACAATATGCGCTCCAAATGTTGGGGAAAATGCTCTGCGGGGTGAAAGTCATAGAACGATGTGAACAGTGCTGTTTCAAGCCTTCTCTCTTTACTGTTGGTTATTTGCTTGGACTGCCGGTCGGATTGCCCTCCAACGTTCGAGGCGGAGAGTGTGCTAGGTCGCCAGATGTGAGTCACGTACTGGACCTCGTTAACAGCTATCTGTGTATTGACACGTGTGAAGAGACCACACAACGTCTGTATTTCTATATCGAAACTCTACTATATACGGAAGACTGCCTCAGATCCCCCTGCACAATGCGGCGACTTCCAACGGCCACTAACTGAATCAAACTATTTTTGTAATTTCTGTAATTTGACATTATTTATGAGCTTATTTCATGTATCATCCATACTTTGCAGATCGAAATGCTGCCTAAAGGACAGTTTTATAATAATTTAGGATTATATTTTTAGTATGAAATAAATTAACATGCTTTCCTCTTGAAAACTGAGTAAAACATCATACATGCGTTCACATTATAAAATATACATGAATATACTAATACATATTAGTGCGAATACTACAGCAGCGACTGATCATCTTAAAATGCATTAGCTTGAAAATCATGCACTTTCATAGAAAATTTTATAATATTGATCACACCTAATTTCACACATATTTATTTCCAAATAAGGAATAATGAGATAGATATCTTTTGAAAAACAACCTGTATCTGGTGAAATATGTGGTAGACATTTGCATCTGAAAATATGTATTGTTTTGATTTCTTGCCATGATTCACTCAAACTCGTGAAGTCCAATGCAGCAAATCAAAGCTGCTGAACATTCTATCTGTCAAATTTTATACACATTTGAAATTAAAAGAAAAAATTTAAAAGATTAGTTTCTGAAAACGTTAATAGATTTGGAATCCAGATCAATAGAATATAACAATAGAATAATATTTGATTGTTCCACCTAGTTATCATGATTATGTAAAGGTTATCAAAAATTCAATATTTTATCATGCATTTGTATTTTTCTTCATTGCGCTCAATAAGAATTTAAGCAAAATAAGAATAATAAAACTATGATTAAAAAAGTAACAAATTTTGAATTATGTTTTCAATAAATGAAATAAATTTAAAATTATGAATAATTTCATGCAAAAAATATCTCAACATAACATAAATCAAACATCACAAATACTTAATCCTAGATGCTAATATTTATACACCAATGATGTAAAAAATATACGTATAAATATTTTTCTTTCAAAACATTCACTAAAACAATTGCTTTAAAGTTGACTTCATATAAACCAATCTATTTTATATTTCAAAAATCTGTTGGTTTTTCATTGATTATCTTTCATTGTAATCACACTTTAAAAGACATTATTTTTCAAAATAATTTTTGAATTTAAGTTAAATTTTTGAATTTTTTGAATTTAAGTTAAATTTTTTTTGACAAAAATGACTATGATATTTATTAATTTAAAATATGTAATGAATTTTTCTATAAATTCTTAAACTATTATTTTATCATATACCAAATGATAGAATTACATATTATACTCAATATAATACTTTTGACATAATGATGATATGTATTTAGTTTTTATTCATGATGGATTTATCACTCTGGAGATAAAGTTATGCAATAAGTGATAAAATTGATTATAATTCCAATTTTGTAAGTAATAATATTTGATATGAGTATAAAAAAACTTATTGATTAACTTATTTTTAGCATTTAAATTTGAATGTGTCACCACTAACTAGATTTTGATTGACTGATTTGGTATAACATACAATTTTGATTGTTGAAGTAT